TCCCCCACGCCCGCGGCCGCCCCCTGCCACAGCTGGTTGATGAGCAGCTGCGTGTTGTCCCGCGCCAGGGCCCGCAGCTCGGCCTCCGGCGAGGGCCCAGCCTGGCGCAGCACCGTCGGGGGGTTGCGGTCCGAAGCCAGCAGGTTGCCCAGGTCGAACTCCAGCTCCAGCTCTTTGTGCACCGTGATGAGCCGCAGCTTCTCCGCCTCCTCCTGCTCTGCCTTGGCCAGCAGCTCCTCGACGTTCCGGCCCTCCATGGCTCCCGCTGCGGTCCCGGTCCCGTGTCCTGACTCTGCGGCAGCAGCAGAAAGCAGCTCCACTCTACAGCAGCATCCAAAAGCTGCCAACTAAGTGAGAACGTCCTGAGTCGAAATCCGGAAGATAAATGTTCGAGAAACTGTGTTTTAAGACAAATAAACAAGCCGGGCGTTGGTGGTGCACGCCTTTAATCCCAGCACTTGGGAGGCAGAAGCAGGCGGATCTCTGTGAGTTCAAGGCCAGCCTGGTCTCCAGAGCGAGTGCCAGGATAGGCTCCAAGGCTCCAAAGCTACACAGAGAAACCCTGTCTCGAAAAACCAAAAAAAGAAAAAGGAAAAAGAAGTGTGGCCTTAGCAGGGTGTGGTGGTGCACACCTTTAATCCCAGCACTTGGGAGGCAGAGGCAGGTGGATCTAGTGAGTTCGAGGCCAGCCTGGTCTACAAAGTGAGTTTCAAGGCTGTTACACACAGAAACCTTGCCTCAAAAAACAAAACTAAACAACAACAAACAAACAGAAAGAAGGAAGAAAAGAAGTGTGGCCTTGTTGGAGGAAATGAGTTTTCAAAAGCCCTCGCCAAGCCCAGAGTTTCTCTTTTTCTGCTGCAGACGGTGATGGAGCGGTCAGCTACTGCTCCCGCACCATGTGTGCTGCCATGTTGCCCTCCATGATGAAAATGAACTAAACCTCCAAAACTATAAGCAAGTCCTCAGATCAATGCTTTCTTGTACAAGAGTTGCCTTAGTCATGGCATGTCTTCACTGCAATGGAACAGTGAGTGAGACACCTGCCGTGATTAGTTTGTAAATAAGAGTTTTTAAATGGAGACTGAAGCCAGGGCTTCATGCTTGCATTGTGTCAACTAGGCTGCATCCCTAGTCCTTGGATTTCCTTTTATACCCCACTTCTTATCAGTGATGGCAACAACATCGAAACCAGGTTGGCCACTTGGTGCTTAGCCCTTCTCTGGGCTCTATTAAGTCACTACCCTGCAACATAGAACATTTTCCTATTCTACAGAGGAAAGCCAGGAGTTCAGAGGTTAACTGACTTACCCAATGTCTCTTTGTGAATGGCCCAGGCAGGATTTGAACTTGAGTTGTCTCTGCACTCACAGTCTCCCTAATAGACTGTCCTCACAGTTGGTTGACCAATCTATTGGACTACAGTGCTGTGCTGTGTGGGGTTTTCTCCCCAGCTGGAGTGTAAACGCTTGTAAATGTCCACTGTCCTCACTGCATGTCAACTCTATACTCAGAGCTTTATATAGAAGAAAGGCAAAGAACAGGCTGCTGGCCTCAGGAGATCCCAACTAGGGACTCTAGACCTTTGGAATTAGTCAAATGATGAAACTGTGTCACCAGGCAGGGACAAGTTAAGAGCCTGAAAGTGAGTAGTCAGGAGTGCCCTACTATTTCTTGAAGTTTTTAACACTGTTTTTCAGTGGTGGAGACAGATCCCAGGGCTGTCAGCTGAGCTATACACTAGCTCTACTAGAAGATTTTGGTACGTGGTAAAATATCTGTGTCTTCAACATGATTGTATAAATTGAAAGAAAATGACCCCCAAAGTGAGTGGCACTATTAGGACCCTTGTTGGAGGAAGTGTGTCACTGTAGAGGTGGGCTTTGAGGTGTCATATATGCTCAAGCCACACTCAAAGTGGCAGATCACTTCCTGTTGCCTGCAAGACATAGAACTCTCAGCTACCTCTCCAGCACCATGTCTGCCTGCAGGATGCCTTGTTCCATCACGATGATAATGGACTGAACTTCTGAACTCTAAGCCAGCACAATGAAATGTTTTCCTTTATAAGAGTTGCCATGGTGATGTTGTCTCTTCACAGCAATAGAAACCCTAACTAAGACATCTTTCTTGTTCTTATTTTATGCATTTTTGTGGTGTGTGTGCATGCATTCATGGTCACATGTTGTGGGCACATGTGTGTGGGGGTGCATGTTTGTAGGCCAGTTGTTGGTATCAGGTGTCTATCTTAGTCACTCTCTTTATCTGTTGAGGTATGGGTCTCTTCTTGAGCCTGGAGGTTGTGGATTCTACTAGTCTAGATAACCAGCTTGCCTTAGGGTTCCTTCTCTACTCCCCAAATTCTGGGATTACAAAGCCTGCCCAGCTTTTACTTGGGTTTTGGGAATCCAAACTCCAGTCCTCATGCTGGCATGGCAAACTCTTTAGCCTCTGAGACATCTTCCCAGCCCAATTGCTACAAATTCTTGATTACAGATATCTTGCTTAGCATGTATACCTTTTCCAGGTTGAGAATGTAAGAGGATAATAGCAGACTGGTGAATCAGGCTATAGGTAAGGCTCTGCCCAGTTGCCACATCCCATTTGGCTCCAGGTGTCCAGAGGCCACATGCCTCAACTGAAGTCAGACCTTCAGGCCCTGGCCTGGGCCTACCGAGTCTATCTGATCCAGTTACTGTAGTCCCACTCTACTTGTTTGTCATAAAAACTGCCACGTGGCCAGTCCTAACCAAGGAGATGTGACAGGATGTCTTCTGAGGGAATTCTGGGAGTAATTTACATATTTTTAAAGAGCTGCATGTGGGGAGCTATACCTGTAACCTCAGCACTTGGGGAGGTCAAGGCAAGAGAGATATGAGTTTGAAATCAGTTTGGGCTACATAGTGAGACCATGTTTTACCCCCCCAACAAACAAACAAACAAAAAGCAAAAACTCAAACAATACACACACACACACACACACACACACACACACACACAGAGAGAGAGAGAGAGAGAGAGAGAGAGAGAGAGAGAGAGAGAGAGAGAGAGAACATAATTTAACCATATAGGGATGTTTTTCTCTTCCAGTCTTTAAATACAGACGTTGTGGGACAAGCTGAGGCCTTAAGTTGCAGCAGCTACCATGTGACCACAATGGAACAAATTCAAGGGCAAAACCCAATCTACAGACACTCAGCCACGGAACACCCTGATTGTCAACTTCCTGTCTGTGATACAATTTCCTCATTTCGTAAAGGTCTTTGACTTGACTTGATGTGAGAATATGAGGGCCTGAATTTGACCCTTGGAAGCCAAGTGAAAAACCTTGGCTTGGTGGTGTGTGCTTGTAATCCCAGAGCGGGCAAGGCAGGGACAGACAGGTCCCTGGGGCTTGCTGCACAGCCGGTCAGATCCACTCCGAGGGATGGCTCCTGGGGAATCAACCCAAGGTTGATTTATGACCTCCATGTGTGTGTGTACACACACCTGTAGACCCATATACACATATGTACACACACACACACACACACACACACACCCTCGAGCTCTTGTCTCGGACTTTGAGCTTCCCTGCTAGTAAGTACTGGAGGGGAAGGTGGACAAGAGAAAGGGGCAGGGCCAGAGGCACAGGCTGGCTGCTGGGACAGAGAAACAGTGTGTGGTGAATATGGAGTAAAAACTCCCCTGCTGCATCATTGTCCATGCAGTCTCACCTGCATGATTTGTGTGGTTACCCCAGGCCCAGGATGCACTGACCCATCTTCTGCATCCATGAGCTGTCTCTGTTGAGCCCGTGAATAGGGAAGGCACGAAGCCTCCTCAGTCCTCTGTGCTGCTAATGGCACTGGACACTTCTACTTTTAGTCCACTGGCCAGAGGCAGTTACATGGTCCCTCACACAAGAAGCCACTTCCTGTACAATGGATGCCCACTCAAGAGAGGACAGGGACCTGGAACCATCAGTTGGCAGTGTGTGTGATCAGCTCTGAGATGGGTTATTTGGGTCTAAACTGGGTCTTTAAGGCAATGATGGCCAAGGACTCTGTGTGTGTGTGTGTGTGTGTGTGTGTGTGTGTGTGTGTGTGTGTGTGAGAGAGAGAGAGAGAGAGAGAGAGAGAGAGAGAGAGAGAGAGAGAGAAATGTGTATATGCTTGTGGGAGGCCAGAGGCTGACTTTAATTGTTCCTTAATCACTCTCCATCTTGCCTTTTGAAACAAGGTCTCTTACTGAACCTGGAACTCACTGATTGGCTAGGCTGGCTGGCCAACGAGCTCTAGGCATCCTCCTGTTCTCACACTCCTAGCACTGGGGTTCCTAGCACTGGGGTTCCAGATGTGTATCGCTGTGTCTGGCTTTTTATGTGGGTGCTAAAGAATTGAAGTCATGTACTCATGCTTGTGCAGCAGGCAGTTTAGTGACTGAGTTATCTCTCCAGCCCAGGAAAGGGGGGCTTTGAGTGGGTGGTGGGCACAGACAGTGTTAAGGTTAGGTGTTGATCCAAAGGAGAACCCATTGGGTGGGGTCTGTGCTCAAGGTGTGGAGGCATAAAAAATACAGTTGAGAAGAATGAGAAAAATAGAGGGTCCGGAACTTGGGTCAACTTACCTCTGCCCTGAGCTCCTCATAGTTAGGAGCTGTGGTGTGAGCTGGCCTATTTCTCACCAATTAAACACCTAGGACTCAGGAGGAGTCCTGGGTAAAAGATAAGGAATATCCCTTTAGAGTGAGGATTTGGGGAAGGAAGAGTCACAAACCCAATCAGCAAGACCTGTTGGTTCGTTCCAGGAAATGGCAATCTTGTTAGTGAAAGGGCCCGCAGTCTGCTTTCATCTTCTGGGTTTGGGTATGTTAGCTCAGGATAACTGTGGGGAATGGCCCAGCCTCTGTAGATCTCTGCAACTGGGAAAGAGCTGGGGAGAGCCCTGCCCACAGAGCGGGGAATTCCAGGCCCTAACCAGGCTTTGTAGGTGTAACCCACAATAAATGCTCAGTGACTTCAGACAACCCTGCCCTTAGTTCCCTGGAACCTGAAGACTTCGTAATCTTTCAAGAAGCACACGGAGCACATTTGTGTGTGGGGGTGTGGTCTAACTCCTCCTTCCCTCACAGTTTTGGGGACTGAACCTAGGGCTTTATACATGCTGAGCAATCAATTTATATTAGTCAGTGAGGTACTGCAGGAGGGCTCAGGACCTGAGATTCCAGGCTGGGCATGGGTTGTGTCTGCCTGCAAGCACAGCACTCTGGAGCCAGA